CCCTGCTTGTCTGTCAAGAACTGGAGGGCATGTGGCATAGTGGAGAGGCAGTGTTTTTCTATGACAGACTGCATGGCATGTTGTCCACCTTCAGAAAATGCTACTGATGGAGACAGGTAGTTCAGTCTGCTGTCAGCACAGCTGCTCCTGATAATGAACCTGGTGCCTGGTGAACACTCAGTGCCTGGCACCCATCGGAATGACGGACTCTCTAAAGTGAATATGAAGGAGTTGACTAACCCTTAGCTCTTTGGATCTTTGATTCCTTCAGCTGCCAGGTAGATGTTTTTGGTGGCCCAAATTAAATGGTAGGTTTACGGTTTGAGAGTCTCAATCCCAGACTTGGTTTCCACAAGACACACTGAGACAAGGGCAAATATTTAACACAAGCAGAAGTAGCTGTGTTGACAGGATTATAATTCGTCCGGGTTCTGTTATTGCCATTATGGGTCTTATACAGCACTGGGTGGGCAGAAGCTTAGTGAGATCTTATATAAGCAGTGAAGAACCCTTCAAACATGTCACTGTGTGTGTCCTGATGAGAAGGCCTGGATAGGTTTTATAGGAATAGATGGGTGTATGTCTTTACTTCTACTGTTCTTGCTTAGGATGTGGGCAGCATGTGGGTGGGGCTGTGGGCAGGCACTCAGTCTTCAGCACACTTAAGCAGCTGTGTACATGAGCATTCAGATTTGACCAGCCTACACCCTTTTTATTGCTGGGTTTCTATTCTTCCAGAATGTGCTTTCTCTCTATTTCTCCTCTAGAAACAACACACAGGGCTTGCTCATTGCAGACCCGCATAGGTTACTCCTCTGTTTGTTGCTGTGATCAGACTCCTTACAAAAGGAACCCAGGGAAGTTTGGAAGCTGCTATCCATCTTGGTGGGAAGTTGGCAGCTGTCGAGGGCTTGAAGCATCTACTTAATTGCTCCTGCAGACAAGAGGCAGAGAGGGCTAAACACCGGTGCTCAGAATACTTTTTCTTGTTCCTCTGTTCATCCTACTGAATGGTGTGTCCCCCATGGTTACGGTGGGTCTTCCTACTTCAGTGAACCTAATCTAGAAACTTCCCTGAGACATGCCCACGGGTTTGTTTTCTAGGTGTTTGTCGAATTGGTTACCAATACTTGCTGTTAACAGCCATCAACCCTGTCCAGCTTGGCTTTCCAAGGCTCTTGTCAATCTCCAGGACACTGCTAGCTCATGCTTGACATCCTGGGGACTCTGTGTGTCTTGTGACATTTGGATGATGGGACAGCTCTCAGCTTTCCTACCTTGGGGGATCTCAGAGATGTTTAGAACACCCCTCCCTGGGTCCCAGAGTATGGTGTGGTGCCTCCCAAGGCATGAACCCACAGAGGAGCTCCACAAGCACTTACAAGCTCCTTGAAGTTAAGGAGGTGAAGGTGGTGGAGGGGCTCTTTGGTGTGCACCGGGTTCTGACAGGAAATATGATCATGTTCTGTCACTGAGTACAAGCCACACCTTTCTCTTCCTTACCTGAGATGTAGTCTCAGGAAGTGAATGAGCATATGAGACCCACAGGGGCTGGGAGAGTTTCCCATAAGTTCCAAAGTTTTGTGAATATATTGGATGAGTGACTCAGAATTAGCTTGGCACCCACTCCCACACCTCCCAGGCTATTTTCTCTTGCATCCATCTGGCCCCTCAGGCTCCAGTGCTCCTCTGCCCTTGAGTCTATGAGCTCTATATGGGACTGGAACCTCCGCCTGTTTTCTGTCCCCAGAGTGCACCACCCTCCAGGTGCAAGGGGGCTACTGTAGAAATCTCCACTGTGAATAAAAACATGTGTGACTTATGTGTCAGCTTTTCCAGGCTCGATGTAAGTCTGGAAACAAGGGAGCTTGCTGTTTACAAGGTGAAGGCAGCAGAATGCTAATCGGATTCTGTTACCTAGGCAATGTACTTGCACATTGTGGGGCTTTGTGATGTTACTCGGTTTCTCTTCATGCTTCTCTGACTTACATGTCTCTTCTTAAGGGTCTCTTTTTCTCCTACACCATTTGCACTGGTGTTTCCAGGGCCCTATTTTTTCTTTTTTTCCAATTAATTAATTAATTAATTAATAATTTTATGTATTCCCTTTACATCCCAATCACAGTCCCTCCCTCCCCCATTTTTATTTTTTTAAGTTTTTGTTTTGGAGACAGAGTTCCATGAACTTTCTGTGTTCAAGGTTGACCTTGAACTTCTGACCCTTGTGTTTACCTCTGTAATGCTGGGATGACAGGCATGCACCTCCCTCCATGCCTGGCTTTTGCGGTGCTGAGGATTGAACTCATGGCTTTGAGCATGGTGGCTAAGTATTCTACTAACTGAGCCACATCCCTCTGCCTGCCTAGGTCCTTCTGAGAGAAGCTTTATATTTTTTTCTGTGGTAGGTGTCCTACATCATGACTTTCCCAGGCATATTCCAATGACATCCAGGTCCACATCCACGAAGACCTTTTAAGCCTGGCCACTCGCTGACAACCTCCTTCTAGGAGATCCAGTCGTCTCTTAGCTTTGCTGAAGCCAGGGCTGAAACTTGCATGCTTTACCTGCTGTTTGGTTCCCCATCAACTAAGCCACATTAGATATCAAAGCCAGCATCTCTTTGGATTCCTTTGCTCTCTGCATCTTCTTACATTTAGCATAAGGAGGGGTTGTATCGGGTCTCCCTCCTCAAACCCCATCATCTATCTCTCTGCCCATTTTTCAATGTTTTTTTTTTTTAATTTTGCTGTTACTCTATTTTGTAAACATCCAGGTCCTTCTACTTCATTTACTCCCTGACTTGCTTTTCTGTCTAGGCTTTGCCTTCACCACATTTCTACCCCGTGTCCCCTGAACCCCTGCCTCTGGGCTCTACACTCTACTTTCTGTATAGGCATGCAACAGATTCCCCAGTTGATTTCAACTCTTTGTACCATTTGGCTTTTCTTAGCTGCTTCCCACTCATGGAGTCACTTGTGTTGCCGATCCTGCTTTATTGCCTGTATATTCAAGACAAATAAGCATCCCTCTGATGTATAGCCTCGGGCCAAGTGTCTCCTTTTTATGGAGCCCTTTATTGTCTGGAGAGAGTGAGTTTTCCTCACGAGTCCCACTCAGCCCTGTGTGTTGTTTTTAAGCTCATACCTTTACCTCTGTCACTCACCACTCACCTCTTCCAGTTAGAGGAAGAAACTATAGACCCTGAGACTATCTTATATATCTCCCATTTCTAGCACTTCTCATAGTCCCTTCAGAAATAGCTAGTGCAGGGAAAGCAAATATTGGATGGATGGATGGATGGATGGATGGATGGATGGATGGATGATTGGGTGGATTATTGAGTGGGTAATAGATGGGTGAGTGTATGGGTGGATAGATGGGTGGGTAGATGGGAAGATGGGTGGATGGATGGATGCATGGGTGAGTAGATGGATGGATAGGTGGGTGGGTGGATGGGAGAGTTGGGGAGTGGGTGACTGGGCAGGTGAATAGATGGTGAGTGGTTGGGTGGATGGATGGATGAGTGGATTGCTAGATGGGTGGTTGGATAGATCAATGGACGGATGTGTGAGTGGGTGGATGGATGAGTGGATGGATAGATAGATGAGTAGGTAGCTAGATGGGTGGGTGGATGAGTGGGTGGATAGATCAATGGATGGATATGTGGATGGATAGATAGATGGGTGGGTGGATGGATGGATGGATGGAGTGATACATTGTTGTTGCTGTGTTCATTGAATAGGGAAGTTTTCCTTTTGTTAATGGCATAGTTTGTCTCCCTTTTACAAAGGTAAGCATACATCATAGTGGAGGAACTGAGGTTGAGCCTTTTGGTTTAATGTCTATTTATCCTGTAGTGGACCTGCTGCTGAGGAGTTGGTTCATACAGTGATAGGGCCAATCCCCAGCATACTTGCCTTCCTTACTATATGAAACTTCCCTAAGGACCGTTCTTGCCTTTGTGATGGGCCCCATCTCACCTTGGCTTATTCAACTTTATAGCTACAATTTGTCTGGAATGTGACTTGGAGTCCCTGTAGGGTGGGATTGGGTGTTAGAAGAGGCAAAGAAAAAGTAGAATTGCAGATTTCTGAAGACCATCGAGACGTGTTCTGGAGACCCATTTACTCCATCTTCAATGTGATGTGAATATTTGCATCCCTCCCATCAGTCAACTCTTGGGGTACCTAGCTCTTCCTGTGACTTTTTGTCCTGATCATGCCTAATAGTTTGCTTGCCACTGAGTTTATTTTTGAGCCCAGCCTATTCAGATGGGCTAGATACTTGTTGTAGCTGCCTGGGATCTGAAACCATCTGGTTTCTCCTAGCTGGGGAGGGGGTGTGGCGCAGAGCTGGAAGAGAAACTTGTGTTGTTTTGTGTAGAGGCTGGTCTTTCCATATCTCTTGATTTGTTAACTTGAACTTGAGTGGAGAGAGTTGTTGTAGCTGGTGTGTATTTATAAGTGTAAGCTTTAAGACTCAGCCAATACGAAGAGGTTGACAAGGGTTTGCTCTCAGGGTGAAGCTGTGGTTGATGCCAGAAACGGACTCACACTCGTCAGTGAGCAAGTCATGGCTCATCAGTGTCTGGGATAATTACGTCATTGGCTTTCTAAGATATTCCTAGCAGTTTTGTCTTCAGCCCAAAATGGGCATCTACCAACAAAGGTTCATTACTGTTAGATTCTTAGTCCAAATGCATAATTTGAGATTAAAGCCTAGTGAAACCATTTGCACCATGATAGGAAATGTAACAATAATGGAAAACCATTATTATGTTGGTCTCCTTCTTCAGAAGTGACCGGAAATGAGGGTGTTACTGTCCTCAAGGGTCCAGATCTGGGTCTGCACGCACCAGGTGTGTGCATATCAGAATACTGGTGTCTTTAAGGATTGCTACTCTCGGTTGTTGGCTGTGTCCTTTTCTTCTCTATCTCTCATTACAACTCACTGAGAAAGACCATACCCATGTGTCTTTTATCATTTTTTTTTCCCTGCAGATTTCAACAATGTCCCGGATATCACGACTGGCCTGAAAAGGAGCCAGACAGAAGGTACTCTGGATCAGGTGCCCCGCAGGGAGAAGATGGAGCAAACATTCCGGGTAAGACATCAGCCCAGATCACAAGCCCAGAGCCAGGCACTGGTACCTGAGGTTGTGGATATAGAAGATGGGATTTTCCTATTCTTGGGTCTAAAATTAAAACTCCCTATGTGAAGGTATGCATGTGGTTTTTGATTTGTAGTTGTGTTGGTGTATGTGTGTATGATTTTGGGATGTGGGTTGGTTTGTTTTTGTTTTTTATTTGTTTTGTTTTTGAGACAGAATCTCCCTCTCTAGTTTAAGCTGGTCTGGAACTCACCCTGTAATCCAGGCAGGCCTTGAACTCATAATGACCCTCTTACCTCCATCTCTAAGCACTGGGATTACAGGTGTGAATTGCCACACCTATTTGTTTCTCCTTTTTAAAAATGTTGTGTGTTTGTGCATGCATGTGTGTGCTCATAATGTATGCCCATGTGTGAGTACATCTGCCCGTGCATGTTCCTGTGGAAGCCAGCGGTTGATGCTTATGTTTTTTTCTTTCTTTTTTTTTTTTTTTTGTTGTTTTTTGTTTTTTCAAAAGGAGATCTGGCAAAGTTTTATTAAAGGAAAACTTTCTTGTTCACTTCTCACCAGTCTGCTCTGGCATGCTTCTAATAATATCAGAATCACCTGGGTCAATGATAGCCAGTGTGCATACTCTGTAGTATTTTCCACAAGCTGTGCCCAGTTCAATATTATTGCCACTGTAGTGATGGACACCAGTTTTAGCCAACATGGCATAGTATTCTATTTCAGATTTCCTCAAAGCTGGGCAGTTGTTGGCGAGGATAACCAACTTCGCTTTGCCTTGTCTGATCATCTTCAGAGTCTGTTTGTACCCCAGCACGTACTTTCCACTTTTCATAACAAGCTGGAGCCTAGAGTTGATCGACTCCAGAGACTTTTTTGTCTTCTTTGCGGCCACCATCTTCCTGCCTTAGGTGCGAGACAGCCCCCAATCAAGAGCAGCCGCCAAGATGGCCGGGGAGCGAGAAAGGGCGCTTATGTTTTTTTCTATCGTCTCTATCTTGGGTTTTGAGACATGAACTCACTGAACCTTTTGCAGTCTGGATAGACTGGCTGGCCAGTGTGCCCCAGAGGCCCTCCTATTTTCTCTGGGGTTACAGATATCATTGCTCCAACTGGTTTTTATGTGGGCTTTGGGGATCTAACCTACATGGCAAGCACTCTATCGACTGAGCCATCCTTCCAGCCCTATTTATTCATTTGAAGTGGGAAGCGATGGGGACCATTCACTTTCAGCCTGACTTCTGGCCTGCCAGCAAAGAGCAAGGGAGACGGAGCCAGTCCTACTTCAGGAAGTCTGTTTAGAACTCCCAAGATGGAAATCCTAAGCTTGGGTATCAGGAAAGTCATGTTCCGTTACTAGCCTTGAGTTGTTTGTTTGTTTTTTTTTAAACCAAAAGTAAATTATTAGTTTTTGCAATGCTGCCATTTGGTTGTAGTAAAATATATATAACAAGGACCTCGAGAGATGGCCAAGCAGTTGAGAGCATTCACTGTTCTTCTAGAGGACCTGGGTTCAATTACCATCACCCACAGGGCAGTTACTGTCTGTACTTCCAGTTCCAGTGGCTCAACACCTTCTGTTAATCATCTGTAGGTACCAGGCACTCTCATGGTACACATATATACATGCAAGTAAAATATCCATAAGCATAAAATATGAATATATATCTACATATAAATATATATCTCATATAGTTTGCCTCTTTAATAATTTTCAAATGTGCATTTAAGTGGTGTGACATGTACTCGGGATGTCCTGCCTTCTGCCTCCAGAACTTTCTTGACTATTCCTGTTGAACAGTCACTTTATATCTCTTCCCTTTCCACGGCCTCATCTATACTTTCCTCTTGGCTGCCAACTCTATGTGCTGCCTAGAAAAGCAACAGTGTCTAAACACCAGTCAGCATGGTGATGCATGCCTTTAATCCTAGCTCTTGGGAGGTGAACACAAGCATCAGGAGTGCAAGGTTGTCCTCAGCTGTATAGTGAATTAGAGGCCAGCCTGGGCTACATGACAACCTTTTATAAACACACACATGCACACGCACACACATTCACACATTCACATACATATTCACATAGACACACACACTCACACACACATATACAGACATACATCCTGCAATACATACACAACACACACACACACATACAAACCAGACAGATACACATAGACTTAAGCACACAACACACACACACACAAAACAGACACCACACAGATACACACAGATACACATATAAACAGACACCAAGCACATACAAACACACACACACCAGACACACAGACACACACAGACAAGACAAACACACACAAAACAGACACACAGATACACACATACACACTCAACACACATACTCAGAAACACACAGACACCAAGCACATACAAACACACCAGACACACAGACACACACAGACAAGACAGACAGACAGACAGACAGACAGACAGACACACACACACACACACACACACACACACACACACACAGACAACCAGACAACAAAACACATCTCGCCCTTTTGATCTTGGCTTATTTCACTTAGCAAGATACCTTCTCTGTTCATCTGTGTGATACAATGTGTCAGATTTTTGTTCCCTTTTAAGGCCAATTAATAGCCGATTGCAAGTATGCACTACATCCTGTCTAGCCTTACATCTATCTATTGTGATCGCTTGTGAGTGACACTGCAGTGGCCAGTTGGCATGCACTGCTCTGCTCAGATCTTTACCTTCAGGTTTGGGGGTATGTCCCTGGAGTGGAGTTGCTGGAGCATAACTCTTCCACATTTGCCTTGTTGAGGGAAGGTACTGTCAGCATCCACAGCCCCTTCTATCAGCTCAGCAGCCTCATGCCAGGGCTACAGCTCACCCACATTCTCAGCGGGATTTTCTGCCCTCCTTTCCATCCCTCCGTTTTTAAACTGTTCATGATCACCTTACCCTTTCAGTGCTGTCTAGAGTTTAAGATTAGAGTCCCAATGTATGGTCTTTGTTTCTTACTAGAATATATAGAAGATACAAAGGCAGAGGCAATTTTTGCAGAACCTCATGCCACCCAGGCTCTTGTTGAGCAGCGTGTAGCAGCATACTCTTCAGTCTTGACGACATCCACTGAAGTGGGGTCCATCTGATGAGAGCCCACCTCAGGCTATATGCTCAGCCTCTATTCTTTCTTTCCTCCTCAGCCCTGCTCCCTACGCTCTTCTGCAGTCTCTCTCCGTTCTGCCATTCCTCCATGGCTCAGGATATCTGGTTTTATTCAAGGACTTAGCTTTTTGTTTTCTCTGAACTGAAATCCATCAGTGCTCTGGGCCTTGTGGTTCCATTCTGTCTCAGTGGGGCTGTGTTAGAAAACTCGGTATTGTGGTTCTCTCTTCTGTGTGTGGAGCAGAGGATCACAGAGCATCCACCTGATGAGTTCTGTTTGCTTTGGCTTCATTGTTTGAAGCTATACTCCCCAAAGCATTCCTGAAACAGACTGTGTGTTAAGGAAGGGCACCTCAGGGCACAGGCACAGCATAGCACATGCCTGGAGGAAGATCACTCAATGCTATTAAGAATGATTTTCCTTCTGTGATAATTTGCTTGAGTTCCTAATAAGGAAATTAATTTTATCTCCAGTTTTAAAAAAGATTCAATAACAGAGACATGAAAAATTAAAAGAATTAGCACAGTAAGGTCATTTTTAACTGTTCCCTGACAGTGTGTGTCATGGCTAAGCAAACCAGTGAGCAGGTAGAAGTAGGGAAGGGAGAGCTGAAAGTTGGGTGGGAATTTGAATGACATGAGCATCACGTTCCATGATAATGAATAGTGAGGCTAGCCTGGTCTACAAGTGAGTTCCAGGATAGCCAGAGCAACATAAGGGAGGCTCTGTCTCAAAAGACAACATCAAAAATAAATGGAGAGGGGAGAGAGCTGACACAAACTCAAACACACACATACCTCTCTCTCTCTCTCTCTCTCTCTCTCTCTCTCTCTCTCTCTCTCACACACACACACACACACACACACACTATTCACACATGCAGTCACTCATACAGACACACTCACAGACACTGACATACAGACACACACTGTTCACACATACTCAGATACACATAGGCACTCATAGTCACAGAGACACAGACACACCACTCATTCACACAGAGACACAGAGAGAGACACACATAGTCAGACACATGTTCTCTCTGACACTCACACACACACACACAGACACACTCTCACACTCACCCATAGATACACACATGGCACTCATACAGACACACACACAGACACACATACTCACAGACACATACTCACCACTCACACACATTCATACAGAGACATACACAGACATGTATACACATTCTCTCTCTCTCTCTCTCTCTCTCTCTCTCTCTCTCTCTCTCTCTCTCTCTTTCTCTCTCTCTCTCACACACACACACACACACAGACACACACACACACACACACACACTTATAATCATAGCAAAGAACACAGAGTAGAAAATATATCAGAAGGGTTACAGGCTGAATATCTTGATATATCTGTATTCTGTATAAGGGGCTGTGTGGGGGAGGGGGCCCATTTGTCAGCATGAGATCCATTTGTGTTTCATATGCACCAGGTACATGTGTGTTTTGTGCACCAGGTACATGTGATATAGAAGCAACTTTGTACAGTGTTGGTGCTACACTTGTACTTTAACTACAGCTTTGCACTGGAGGGCAGGGGTGGGACATTGCTTCTTCTTCTTCTTCTTCTTCTTCTTCTTCTTCTTCTTCTTCTTCT